AAATATCCTACAATAAATATAAAGTTATTGATTAACAGGGACACTTTTTAAAAAAGACAATGATTATACCTCAAAAGATTAAAAATGCTTTATATTTTTGAACATATAACTTTTTAAAAAATGTCTTACATTTTTAAATAGAGAGAATATATATATATATATATATATATATTTATATATTTAATAGGGGCAAGGCTGAGATTTTATTAGATTTTAATATAGAATTAATAAATTTTAAGGTTTTTTTTGTTTTGATAAAACATACTAAAAGTGAGTTATAAATAAAATAAGAGAAGTATTATTTAGTTTCTAAAGATTTGTTTGCCATTTTGATTTTTAATGAAATGATATATTTTATCTCAATAAATATTGTTTTAAATGGCTCCTTTAATTGAATTATTGATAAAAACAAAATAAAAAATGATTCCTTTCTTTCTGTAAATTTATTTATCGGAAAAATGCAATTTTGAGAAAGAGAGTAACTATTTTCTAATATGTTTATAAATCATAAATTTGTGGAAAGGAAGTAATCCTTTGCTATTATGTTTCAGACCATAACCCAATCAAAGTAGTCATTTAATATAATAATCACTAAGGCAACTGTGCCGTTTCGCCAAAAACTAAAGTGCTAGACAAGTCTTAGGCTAAACAATAACAGTCACATTTTATAATATTTAATTGTTATTTGTAGGACTTTTTTTTTGGTCATTCTCCCAATAAATACTATTATAATTTTATAACCATAAAAAATAGGGAGAATAGCATTTGAGAATCTTTTAAAAGAATTATTCATAAATAAAGATCATAATAAGTTACTATTTAGAAAAAGCAAATCTCTATTATTATTTTAACAAGTTATTCTGTATTAATTTTTGCATGTGAATAAACTTTTTTTTAGAGATTTTTAAATGTGATTCTTAAAAAAATAAAACAAAAACTTAAAATGTTTGAATTTGATTTGAAGGATTCTTAGGGGTAGATTCCGTGCTCTTCGTTTTGCAGACCTGCGCTCATTACTTGGATATTTAATTTATATGTAATGTAATTAAAGCAAAAGGCTGCAACAAAACTTCATGGAACATTTTTTTTATATTAGGAAGAAAGAAGAATATTCGCGACCTTTTGACGATACTTTAAAGTAATAACTGCAATGATCCCAGCTCAAAAAAAAAAAAAAAAAAAAAAAACACAAAACTACAATGATCCTGTATATTCACGTGAAACTTGAATGAATCCCAAGTAACGCTGCTCTCAAAAGAAGAATGATATACATGTCCTAAAAGAATTAATTAATTTAAATAAAGTTTTAAGTATTAAAATTTAATCATTTATAAATTCAGCTTTTAATTTTATAATTTTATTATAATAAATTTATAATTTATTTTTTAAATTTTAACATAGTTAAAAAATAAATAAATTTATTTTTGTTGTTAAAATTTAAAACATAAATTATAAATTTATTATAATAAAATTATAAAATTAAAAGCTTAACTTATAAATTTTTAAAATTTAATATTTAAAACACTATTTGAATTAAGTAGTGACCTCTTTATCGTTTTTATGTTGATTAGACATGTTCTTAAATTTGAAAGTACATGTCTTCTGAAGTTGGATTACTAAATTTATGTGGATTTTTATTTTTTAAGTATTTTTATTTTATTATTTTTTATAGAATATAAACTATTTTCTGTCTTTTTTTTTTACATTTCATATAAATTTATTATTTTTAATTTTAGAGAATTTAAATCCTAATTTTTTTTATTTATTTCCTGGAGATGAAAATGAATTGCATTGCTCATAAATAATATACTATACTTCACCCAATCCATATTATAAAATAACCTATTATACTATCAACTTTATATATAAATAGAAGGATCCAGTAAAAAAGTAGCTAATCGTTTTAAAATTTAAAAATTATAGAGGGATTGTTTAGTTAATTTATACGTTATTTTAGTTAACTAAAAAGTTGGTTCCTTAAATAAGGAATGTCAGAAAAATGAATATCTAGAAAAAAATTAATGCTTTAGATGAAATCAAATCTTACATTAAGAATTATGGAAAAGGTCCTTATAACAAGAATCATGATATATTAAATCTAATAATCACATAGCACACGTTAATTTCTCAATTAATTGAGTGTAAAAGTGGAATGATAAAATTTGTAGAAATAAATTAGTTAAAATGTTTTTATTAGTATGTCTAATTTAAATAATTTTGTTTGTTGAAAAGAAATGGAGAGAATATTATTTAATTATTAATATTTTAATTATTATTGTTCTGCATCTATTTGTCTTGTATGATATCAAGATGAATGTCAATGGTTAGCTATCCTAATAAATGCGAAGCCGCCTTATTTTTTAAAATAAGATCATGAGTTTAAATTCAGTGTTGGTATGATTGTGCGCAAGCATGTATTTTTCTTTTTTACATCCAAGGGTTATATTATGGGTAAAATTTTAAAGTAGGATATCAAGGTAAATTGGGGGTGAATCTCATCTTATTTCCTTTTATCTCTTGTCACCATCAAAATCCGTGACTTTTGAATCATACAAAAAGAGACACCAATCAGACTGATTAAGGCGGAAATCCATGTCAGTGTAAATCCTATGTCATTTAAGGATTGCTTCTTCTATATTTAGTGTTGTTAAAATTTAAATTTATATTTATTAGAAAATATAAAGTATATTTTATTTTTAATGACTTTATATTGGTGAACCTTAAAAAGCAAACAGTTTTTTTCCTAGGGAGTTAGGAGTTTCAATTTTCGACATTTACATATGGAGTAAATGTTTCGCCAAAAGAAAAAGCATCCGAGTGATGTCTCTTAATTGCACCTAATGACTCGATCCTAATTAGAAAAATCTGTATCCACAAATATAAATGTATATGTGTGTGTGTATACGTATATATAGACACACACACACAAGATGTGTCCCAATCGTCATCTCTCTTCAAAGATACGTTTTGGAGCCCCAACAAGCCCTTCCCTACATCTCTTCTTATCTGCCAACAACGTCTTTTTCATTTTCCAAAGAGAGAGAGACAAATATGTAATTTGAAAATAACAATTGGGATCTTCATATTCATATCATAGCATGCCATTTGGAAGTAATATATTTTACGACTGATTATCCCTTTAAAATATATAACTTTATAACTTATTGCTGAAAATATAGTTATTGTAAAAAAAAAATTGTAGTCATTAGACTTGTTATTCCTCTGAAAATCAAAACAAGAATACTATAATTTATTTTTGAAAAAAATTATCATGGCTAATCTGAGAAAATATACCAAAAGTCTGATTTGAACTGGGTGAGCAAATAATAGTCCAAGAATGGCGCTTTCCAGGAAATTGCAGAGAACATGGGTGTCATGACTTTTGGACAAAAGTTCAAGGGGAAAAAAAAACCTCATTGCAGGGTAGATCCCTAATCTTATTCTCAGTTCTACACTTGAAGACAATAACTACCTAAACAATCCTAATCAGAAAGTTTGAAATAACTGCCTAAAACTCTCCCAATATATGATCTTTTTTCCATCTACAAGATTCAATTTCCAACCTTCAACCTTCTATAATTGCCAATGAAGTATGTTTGGCAGATCTCCGTATCGTGAAGGGAAGAAATGCATTAAATACCATACTAAACATAAAAAAATTTAAATATTAGCATAATGGCATCTTAATTAATATAACTAACATCCAATATACTAAAAACTCTAACAAAAATAAGCTCCTCAGCTAGTTCTTGTATGAAGGACGGGAGAGAGTATAATAATATACCAAACCAGGACATAAAAGCTAAAAGATTGATAGGAACACTAATCTTCCTGCAGCAAAGTGACAAAAACATGTATATATAGAGTCTGGCATGCATCTGAATCTGCCATGTTTATTTAGAAGCACTTCCCTGTTTAAATTGTTTCGCAATATATGCATATGTTTGCTGGTCCAGACAAATGAGCCCCTCATGTGTAAACCGGTAGGACGGTGCCAGAGAGAGAAAAAGAGGAGTGGGCAAAGAACAAGTGTGCAGAAGCAATCCAAGATATATATATTTTTCCCTCAAGAGTAAAATTAAATTTGAATTGGATCCTGGGGAGAAGCACAAGATATTCTTTTGTGGAATAATTGAGTTTGGTAGGGAAAGTTAATTATATACACGAGGATTCGAAATATTCGGAATTATTTAGAGGAGCAAGTAATAAGTATTCATGCCAGCGGAAGTTTATATGGTTGAAACCCCAAAAGATCAAGAGCAAAAGATCCAAGCAGTACTAATTTAAGAGATCAGAGTCAGCCTTTGTTTCTCTGCTTAAGCATATGATTTGCAAGGTCTTACTCAATCACCAACAATTCAACGTGATTTCAAGAAAAAAATTAATCCCACTTCAGAAATTAATCCCACTTCAGTCTCATTAATTATAAACCAGATCAGAGTGTCGTTTGATTCAGAAAAATACAATCTTCAAGCTTTCATTATACTTATTCTTGCTTGACACACAGAATATTTCAGAAAAGTGTGTCATATCATATACATAAAAATATATATCTAGCTGGTGGGGTAATTTAAAAACCAAGCCACATAGAACTCAGATGACCCGTACAAACTTTAAGTACTTGATATTCCGTGACAACCTAGGCATGCACTGGTCCCTTATCTTCATTTTTCTTTAATGTATCATACTCATTTTTAATTAATACAGGACCGAATCTTGCGTTTCCCAAGTTGCTACCGTTCGCACATCCTGACTATTCTAAGCCTAAATGAAGTATTTTTTCATCGATCATACGGAGAAGACACAAAGCAACCTGAATCTTTAGCATTTATCAAAAAGTGTGTGTATAATATCCAGAAAGAGAAAGAGAAAGATAGGTAATAGAGAATCATGCATATAAATATGATTCTCTCTATGCGCATTAACAGTATGAAATATAAATATAGAATTTAATTTACTGAGAGAGAGAGAGATATTGGCATAGAGCGATTGGAGTAGAGTGAGCAAAAAAAAACTCCCATTTTTCCATTGACATAACTAACTTCTCTCACAGGGGATGCAGAATTTTATAGAACCTCTGTGAGGAAAATCTCGAACCTTTTTACAGATTTCACCCACATGAAATATTGCACATGGGTTCAAAGTTAGAGTCACTGGTAAACACAAAAACCCGAACAGGGTTCCAAAACGAGACCACAGGAAAGAATGAAAGAAGAAAGCAGATCAAGAATTGATTACAAGAAAAAACATGGCTCTGAAGAGAGATGTTAAAAAAAAAAGAGAAGCAAAAGCTGCTGCTAGCTTCATCTTGGTCATGCATCTTCTTCACGGCAGAGCCATCAAACAGATTGTTCCCAGCTTCTTATTTTCTCTAATTCATCTGAGCATTGATGTTAGGGACCTGAAAACACCTTCCTCACAAGGAATGGTGAGACCCATATCGTGATCGAAGCCAAATTCTTCTTCAGCCTGACGAAGGAGGGACTGGAATTCTGGGTGAGTCAAGAAGGAGATAGGCACAATATACCTACTTCTGTTTTCACCAACGTACACGGCAAAATGGCCTTTTGGTACGTCAAGAGGGAGGCCGTCATCGTCATAGCCATGTTTCTTTCCTAAGCTGGAACATCTCTTGAGGATTTGTTTCAGAACTGCAGTCTGGGGAAGCTTGCTGGGTTTTCTAATGGCCATGAGAGATGGCGTGATCTAAAGATTAATTGTTGAGTAAAGTGTTGAGATAAGAGAATAGAAGTAGAGGCAGTGGGTGAAGGCTAGTGTGGGGAGTGACGGGGGTATTTATGAAGAGCCAGGCCTCTCCTGATGTAAAATAAATATCAGATATATTCATTTTTTTTAAATCATTCTGAGTCTAATACGTGATTATAAGATCATTGAATAAGTGAAGGGGGAGAGAGAGTTGTAGAACTAAAAGGACAGGCCACGGGTGTATGGGTATATGTGTAGTAAATGGAAGGACATGGTAGGAGAGCAGACCATTGGCTTCTGATATCCAATGTTGGCCCTCCCAATGGCAACCTGGTCCCATTCTCTCTCTCAACAATTGCCACCGATTTTCTTCTTTGTTTGCTTCTTTATTCATGTTTTGATAACAATGATCGTAAATGAGAAAGTTATTGAGCAGGTTGATCGTATGGAATTTAAGTCCGGTGAACAGAGCAAGGAAGATCAAGGACAACACTTAAGAAAATTATTGAGCGGACCTTTGGTGAACTGTTTATCTAACAGTTGATTGTTGGTAGAGTATAATGATATCATGCCATCTATGCAGTTGATCCCACTTAATAGGATATGACTTATTATTGTTGATCGTAAATAGGTTCTCATCTCATCTAGCCATTTTCAGTCACATCCACTTTTCTCTCTCATTGCTGTTTAACCTTGTATCTTCTTCTATTTCAGTTTTACTGCTCTTTGCATTGCATGTACTTCTGTTTTTCGTATTACGATTGGACTTGTCTTCTCTAATTATTTCTTTGCACCATCTTCAAAGGCACGCTCCCCTATATCCGGATGCACATTTATTAATGAAGCACGAAAGATGCAATCCCATGTGATATTGCTAAGAGAGAGCTATGCCCCGACAAAATTAAATTTGACTCTTTATTAGTGATATACTAAATATAAAATAATTATTTATCTAAACAAGATCTACTGAATTTTGAACTATTCATTATCAATTTCTAAAATGATATAACGCTTCATGATCATGAAAACTCCTGATTTGACTAAAACTTGCTCTTTTTCTTCTTCAAATAATTGCTCTTTAATTACAATGAAGTTTCTTGTTGAGATGAACTACTAATCACATGGAATGTTTCACTTTAAGGCTTGCTAACATCAATTTATGTGGGCTATGTAGAATCTCACTCTTCTACTCACCGCTAAACTACTCTCTCTCTCTCTCTCTTCCCCCACCATAATTCACGGACCTACAAGAATAAAGTGTACTCTTCGGTACAAGCTGGTGTTCGTTTGGCTTTTCTGATGCTTGGGGCTTGTGATACTGTGGACTCTGTGGCACATGAAACAAATAGACCCTTAGACTCTGTGCAACAACAAACCATTTTTGCAGAAACCCACGCGTCAGTTTCTGCCTTTGCAGGTTTTTGACCCCAGTCGTTATATGTTTAGAACGAAATTTATTTCCGACTTGAATAAAGTAACAATTACGCCTTAGCCTTCAGTACTTGATCTTTTTTTTTTTTTTTTTTTTAAGGTGAACTTCAGTACTTGATCCTATTCCTACTGCTTATTTGTGCCTGTTTGGGCACTTCATTATTATTCTTTTTGTCTATCTTCTAATTACTCCACGCATGTTCCACTTCCACATCAGTCATGCACATATGACATTAATTAGTCTCAGCATTCTATAGCTACACTACCAATCCAGGTTCTTGAATATTTGAGTTGAGTAAACTAATCATTAATTTTGGTTGTTGAATTATTAAACGCATTTAAATTTAAGTTAAATTCCAAATATATATTTATCAATGCATGATCAGTTAGACATTCAAAATAGCTATTATTATTTAGCATAAATGCAGAAAAGATCTTAATTTATACACTTGGGCTTCAGTCTAAACTACTTGGATTCTAAGAGATTATATTTACTGATGCATGGTAAAAATGTTTCACGTGATATTCGCAACAGCATTAAGGTGCTTATTTATAGCTTGATCATATTACTTTTTACGATTCAACCTCAGCTAGTTTTACTCTCACTAGGAAAGTTAAGAACTTCAGAAAAGTTCCCTTGCAAGAGGGTTACAAATAGGCTCGCTCGAACAGGTTCTTATTAATTAGATTGACCAGACGCTAGGTACCAACTACCAAGGTTATGGAAATAGAGTATATGAACGGTTTTTGGTTTTTCTTGTAAGTGCTTTCTTGTCCCTCTTCTGTTCCTGTTATTCTTCTTTGTACATGCTTCTAAAAACTAGCTGTTATAATATATAATGATAATTACGATGCATAGTTTTGGCTCTTTTACATTGCTTGTGCAGGATATATGTAACATCCTTATTGACATTACCATATAACCCCCCACTAATTCTATTAATGATTATAAAATCATTTATTTTGAAAGCTTGGGATCCCAAAGTAAACATTTCAAAAATCTTTTCATAAATACTTGAACTACAAACTACTACACAGCAGAAGCACTATGCCTCAGCACATCAAAGCCAATAATAAAGCAGATTCAAATCAACCAACTCAATCTAAATCAGGGCCCATATGCCACGACTCATGCCACATGCACCGAGGCATGTGGCACAGAGATCCCAGCTGCATGCTTTGTGTCATGCACTACAGCATGTGGTTCTTTGGTGACACATGAGTCACGATACACATATCAGAATTTATTGTTAAATTGCAGATTCTAATACGAACTTTGGATGTGTGCCAATTTTGCATTCGATGTTCGATTGGGGTGATTCAAGCGCCTACTCGAAGTTTATTTGAAAATCTAAACAATGACATTGGTTTTGTTCCAATTCAATATTCTGTTGAAAAGTTGGACACTTAAGTGCATTTTGGCCATGTTATATCAAAATTTGCCACTTAAATATCACCAAATGAAACTATATGTTATTAGCCACTTTTAGAGCCTTGACCATGTTCAAATGAATAATATACACCTGATTGACAATTATATACACATATACATATTTTTGACTTGTAACCGCCCATGATACACTTTTGGGCTGAAATTCATATTTTCATTGCATTTACATCTAAGGCCAAATATCACATATACATCAAACGTTAGTCATATTTCGACACAATACCATCCATCCACTAGCCCACGCTATCGTTTCATCATTCACACTTATATAGAAGGGCAAGGAAATAAAAAATCACACACATACATACACAGTCACAAGTTTATGCACAAGTATTGTTTCTTATGACAACTTATATACATAACTACTACTATTTACTCAATTTCATTATATCAATTCTTACAAAGGCTTTCTAGAGAGACCTCTACTCTAGACCCAGTTCTTTTCTTTTCGCACCACTACTACCAAAACTTGAAAAATATAAATAACTACGGGTGAGATTAAAATCTCAGTAACCAATATAATTTATAAATGTCTATTATCATAGATAACTATGCCAAAGTAAGAAAAATTGAAGTAATATATATATATATATATATCATAATATAACTTTTCTCTTTAAAAGCCTTTTTTACATATTTAACGCACTAGCATGATCATCTATCCACCAATCCTCTAAAGCTCCTCGACATGAAATCATAGACTCTACTAGAGTAATCATTTATTGACCTGAACACACTTTTGATGGTAAAAATACCCGGCCAAAGGTAATCTATCCTACCTATGGACTATAGTTTTTCTCATGTCACACATGTAAAGTCCCCAAGTCTTGATTATAATGTGCCATCTCAACCTGTGCTTTACCATTCCATCACTTAATCAATAAAATACAAAATTAGAGTAATAGTTCTTTATTTATTTTTAAAATTACAGGATCCAAACTTCTCAAAACATACATTCAAATAAGACGGCTAACGAAAGCATAAATATATTTAAAAGACTCAAAATGTTACAATTTCTTAACTTAAAAATGGGCCATGCGTTGTGGTGTGTAGCACATGCGTCACAGCATGTGGCATAGAACCATCTGGCCTATTTTATACTACGTCATGCACCACGGCGAGCACATTATGCGTCGTGGCATGCTTGTTCAAAATTTTGATGTTATTTTGATAGCAAAAATGATGAACTTTCAGTGTGCACTATTTTCACACCTAACGTTCGATTAGAGTGATTCAAGTATTCACATGAAACTTACAATGTGTACTAGCTAATAGAATAAATTTAGACTCAATTTGACAATCCAATCTAAAATTAAATACTCAAATGTCAAAAGTCACTTTTTCTCTTAAAAACTTGCACCCTAAGTGCTCAATTCTCATTTCTTATTCCATTAGACTACTTCGGGCCTTAAACTAAGTCCAAAATGACCACATACACTTGATTAATATCATACATATCAAATATTACATCAATAACCCATTTTAGCCTCTCAAAGCCATATCACACACTTGTGGTTTTATATAAGAAAATCATATATATACACATAATCACATATACAACTAGACTTTTTTCACTTTTGACCCTCTGACTCTTACATATGGGGCTCCGTCTCACCATATGGTCGAAAATCATAAATGAACTTGACTTTTCCAAATGGGGCTCTGCTTCACCATTTGTGTCAAGTTCTCATTTCACCATATAAAACACAATCAATTCACATCAATCATAGTCAACACATATATACACACTAATGGAACCAGTTACAATACAACATATGTTTGCTTGTTTACATTTTAGCCTACCCACGTACCCTCCTCAAGGGCACCCTCGACACAATGCATCCCATATATATATATACAAGCAAGTTTCACAATACCATCTACTTTCTCATATTCACACACATATATGCATTTTAGTTGACAACTTAACTTTATAAATAACTTTATACATTCATTTCTACTTATAGGTAGTCATACCACTACTAATCGAGGCTACTCTTTCCTCGCTTCCTTTCTCAGCCTTCTCAAGCTCTTTTCACTTGTATTTAAAAGTAACGAAGTGAGACATACGTCGTAGTAACTCGAAGATAAACCCAATTATCGGTTAGTAAGAAAAATAATAAACAAGCGATAAAGTAGCATGTATAGTCATAAAACTACAACATATCCATATACAGGAATTCATTTTCATCAATCTTATTATACTCATGCAATGCAGTCTTGGTTCCCCCCGACAGAGTAAACTTTACAGCCGGACCAGGCCCTCTAGTTACAAGGAACAGGGCCTACCATACCAGTGCTCAGACCAGGTCATATTCATATAGGTGGCTTTCTAGGTCCGTCATGGCAAAGCCCAGCTCTATATTCTGGATCATCAAGACTTCCTAGCCTTTTACAAAGTAGGATCATGGCCCCCTACCCTAGTCTAGGATAATCTCGTGGATCATTTAATATCCTAGGTCCGTTGTATTGGAGTCAAGCTCTACGCTTTGGATCATCAAAATTCTTCTCCTATGTCTGTCCTGACGGAGCCCAGCTCTATGCTCTGGATCATCAGGACTTCTTGGACCTCCTCACAGTAAGGTTGCATTTCCTCCTACTATGATTCAGGATATATCTTGCAGATATAATGTGTAACAGCCCTCCGCTCACCCTGCCTCCCCGAGGTCTTTTGCGACGCTGGACACTCTCTCCCCAGGCCCCACAACAGGGCGACCCCACCCCTTACGGTAAGCATCAGGAGACAAAGGCTTCCCTGCAGTAGTGTGCGGATTATTCCCCTTGCGGAGAGCCTCCCCAGGTTCGATCCTCCAACCTCTCCTACATAATAAAGTTGAGGCTGAACCTGGTACCATTGAATCAAGTGACTCAATGGTACCAGACTTCGCCTCAACTTCGTTAAGGTGGTAGAGGTTGGAAGTTCGAGTCTGGGGAGGTTCCAAAAGACCCCCATGAGGGTGGGGTGAGGAATAACCACTGTACCACCAGTGGGAAAGCCGGCAATCATGTGGTGACATGTGTATTGTCCAGCGCCTGGGAAAAGACCCTGGAGAGGCAGTAGTGACCCAGGAGGGCTGTTATATAAAAGGCACCTTTTAATGTAACAGCCCTCTACTCACCCCGCCTCCCTGAGGTCTTTTGCAGTGCTGGACACTTCCCCCCAGGCCCCACAACAGGGCGACCCCACCCCTTTCGGTGAGCATCAGAAGACAAAGGCTTCCCCGCAGTAGTGTGCAGGATTATTCTCCTTGCGGAGAGCCTCCCCAGGTTCGATCCTCCAACCTCTCCTATATAACAAAGTTGAGGCTGAACCTGATGCCATTGAACTCCGCAAGGGGAATAATCTTGCACACTACTACGGGGAAGCCTTTGTCTCCTGATGCTCACCGAAAGGGGTGGGGTCGCCTTATTGTGGGGCCTGGGGGGAGAGTGTCCAGCACCGCAAAAGACCTCGGGGAGGCGGGGTGAGCGGAGGGCTGTTACATAAAAAGGTGCCTTTTATATAACAGCCCTCCTGGGTCACCACTGCCTTTCCAGGGTCTTTTCTCAGCGTTGGACAATACACATGTCACCACATGATTGCCGGCTTTCCCACTGGTGGTACAGTGGTTATTCCTTACCCCACCCTCACGGGGGTCTTTTGGAACCTCCCCAGACTCGAACCTCCAACCTCTACCACCTTAACGAAGTTGAGGCGAAGTCTGGTACCATTGAGTACCATCAGTGGGAAAGCCGGCAATCATGTGGCGACATGTGTGTTGTCTGCTGCAGACAACACACATGTCGCCACATGATTGCCGGCTTTCCCACTGGTGGTACAGTAGTTATTCCTCACCCTACCCTCACGGGGGTCTTTTAGAACCTCTTCAAACTCGAACCTCCAACCTCTATCACCTTAACGAAGTTGAGGCTGAACCTGGTACCATTAAACCACATGGTTCAATGGTACCAGGTTTAGCCTCAACTTTGTTATGTAGGAGAGGTTGGAGGATCGAACCTGGGGAGGCTTTCCGCAAGGGGAATAATCCTGCACACTACTGCGGGGAAGCCTTTGTCTCCTGATGCTCACTGAAAGGGGTGGGGTCGCCCTGTTGTGGGGCTTGTGGAGAGAGTGTCTAGCACCGTAAAAGACCTCGGGGAGGCGGGGTGAGCGGAGGGCTGTTACATAATGCATGTCAGTACAAGTGTCACTTCTCAAATTCATTTCAATCAATACTCACACACCCGCATGCATATACTTTTAAAATCTTGCTATTCTATCAGTTTACAATATAATGCACGTAGTTATACCAAAAGACTTGCAAATAATTTCATAAATAAACAAGTAAAAAGGTTACTCTAGTTACTTTTAACCCTTGCTACTAAGGGTTACCAACCACACTAAGTTTTCAGGGGCATAGATTTTCACGAGCAACTTCACAAGTGCTCAATCTACATAAAATAGTGCCCTTCAGTCAATTCTCAACACAATTGATAAGCATTGATTTGGCTAAACCGAATCTCCTAACATATGAAATAGTTTAATTGAACCCTTTTCAATTCACTTATTCATTATTTATGTTCACTAGCCTTACAGGCTACTCAAAAAATTATAACAATCTCCCTAACACATCCATTCATCTAAATTCACTCTATTGACCTAACTTTTAGGTCATTTTGAGCCTAAATGCTCAAAACTCAACCATTCAACTCTATACTAGTCACAAAACCCTAATGCTGTATTCGATATCCCGTTTTAACCCTTTCTTTTAGATTATAACACCTTAGAATTTCATGATTTAATTTCTCAACCAATGAAATTTAATAAAAAAGAGGTAGAATTAAAGCTTAAGATTGCGCACTTACCCATCAAGTTATTAATCGAAGCAAATTCTCGAGCTTTAGATAATACTTGCCCTAGCAGAGATGGCTTCCTCTTGCTCTCCAAACACATCTCCAGTTTTTTTCCTTCTATTTTCATGAGCTGTTCATGTCAGTTTTCAGTGATTTCTCAACAATGTGTCACGGTGCAAGCAGCTTCTGCAATAGCACGTGGCATAGTGAGAAAATTCTTACTTATGCTCGCACGTTCTATCCCGGATTGCCTCTCTAACCTTTCATCCTATCAATACCCAAACAACATAAAATATCAACTCATTATTAAAACCATAATCATTCCTCTAATTACTAATTTACGCCTAATTAGCAGCTAATTCCTAGGGTTGAAATTCAGGATGTTACAATACATTAGTGATAGAGGCATTATTAACTCCTAACTGCATCCTAATAGGTATTAGGAAGTTGTTAGATTGCCCAAATGTCATATGATATCCCAGTATAATGTTATACCGGATTACCTATGGTACCAGCCTGTATAATGTTGCACTGAATGTCTCATGGTGCTAGCCTGATCATATGCATTTGTTCACTCACATCTCCACACACACATCCACACTTCCCCTAAGTGAACTCCTACCCCCTACGATCATGCTTTTTACACACATTTCACAACTTTTCTACCATTTTATACCCCCCACACACACATTTATATAGATTAATCTAAACTAGCGACCATCAAATTTCCTTTTTACAAATTAATTTCATGTTAAAACCATTTATGAAGAAAAATCATGCATAGAATCTAACAAAACTCAAATTTCATAATCATGTCATCACTTTTACATAGGTATAATAGCTAACAAATATAATAAACTATATGATTACCTCAACTCTGTTGTCTAATAGAAAGGATTACTCGTGTTTCATAACCCTATTCGAGTGTCTTTTGCCATTCAAATTGTCGTACGCAAGAATCTACACAAATTGGCAAGCCAAGATCAGTTTCACCATTAACAAAAGGTGCCAATTATAGTAATTTAACACCTAATTGCTATCACTTCCTCTATTCATACTCTTTCATGCGGATTATGACCAATTATCATTCAATACAAGCACTAACATTTATCTAGTTAGATTTCTCTCACTTTACTCTCTCTAAATTAGGTTAATTTAAACCTATAGCTTCAAAGCTTTATCATTTTAACTGAAACCAGTCACAAAATATTAGTTTAGTCTTAGAGGACTTTTCTATTATTATATGGTAAGAAATTAATTCTTTAAAACTTTTAAATTTAATTTCTCAATAGTTAAAACTAAGAGAAAACAGGGTAGAATCGGAGGTTAAGGAAGTAAGAGACTTACCTGATAAGTAACAGGTCGGAAACGTCATCTTTTCTCCTGAAACTTGACACCCTGGCAGACTATCCTCTCTTCTCCATGCCTAACCCCTCTTTCTCTAATTTCCCTTTTGTTTTTCACAAGCCTGGCATGTCCTCATTTATTAAAAACCTGCATCATGCGTCGCGGTGCATTCGTCCTCAGCCGCGATGAGTGGCACAGTGAGGGAAATCCTTACTGCACTCACACGCTCTGCTTTACGATGCTGTCCTTTTACTCATATCTGTTCATATAACATCTCAATGAGTTAATACAACATTCCACCATCCAGAATCCTAATCTCACATTAAATTACTATTTCATTCCTTAATCAATATTAATGTAGGAATTAGAAATTTGGAATGTTAAAATATATGACTTGAAAAACTAAAGACAATCATCTAAGAGCTCTTTTTTTAATCCAAGCATCTTTGGTAAATATAGCTTCCTTAACTGTTAGAAGAATTTCTCAATCAACTGGCTGATAATTGATAAGGTGAATAACTTGTGATTCTCATATCATCTCCTCTTCATTTCATTCCATCTTGCGGGAAAAAAAAAGGAGTGTATATTCATTTCTGCCAGGAACATCTTGAATTTTTAAATGAGATTCAAGGACAGAGTAGCTTGCAGTAATTTTTCTCTTGGGTCTTGGTCAACAAGAAGAATAATATAGCATTCTGTTTCATTTTCCTTGAAGTAATCCTCTGAATATTATATTCCAACTCATAAACAATTATTTAAACCATCAAAGATATGTGATTAACGGGTAAAATATTCCAACTCTTTCTATTCTCATTGTTTGAACATGGATAAATTAAAAAGCAAAGCATGACACGACACGTCATGATCGACAAACAAGCTAGCTGTCAAGGAGGTTTGAATGTGAACTCGCAGAGGAAGAGGTCATACTCAACGTGTTTGGTTGGTTTTTCTTGGAGGATATTCATATCAATTGTTGGAGTAGATGGAAGAACAAGTATAACGATAGGCTTCAAAGTTCAAAGTATGACAGATTTGATAATAAAAGCCATATAAAGTTTGTCAATTTCTCAACCTACATGTTAGATTATCCACTAGTGTGTTGTTGGCTGCTACAAGCAAGTGTCTCAACAAACTCAAGGCTTCCCATGTGGTCCTGTCTAAACCAGCACCAATAAATGGCAGAGGTATAACCAAGACATAAATCTATATCCAATGAGCACCACTATTTCGGTCTTACCCAGTTTTACTTCCATACCCTACCATGTTTTCATCGCTCACAAGGCGATCATGGAAGATGCTTGCTTACTTTTTGGACAGGCTTGACTAAGTCATTCAGAGACCATGGTCCAAAAACGAGCTTGTCACACAAAATTCCACCCCATTAAAACTGCAAGTTTTATTGCTGGCTCTCACTTTTTATGATTGTAATCTTTAAATAACGTGGGAGGTATATTATATATCATCCTATAATGATTCATAGCACTATCCGTCATTCCAGCCATCTGTCCTTCGATCAGTTTCTGCTTTTCACCATGCCAAACAGTGGAAGGTGAACGCTCAGAGAAACTGAACAAGATAACAATCTCCGAGGCCTAAAATCAGACTCACTCCCTTAGATATGATGCACTCTTAACTTTTTTTTTTTAAAAATAAACTTAGTGATTCGTAAAACAGTATTCATTATTTCTGTATCTATGTGTATATCCTTGATTATATTCCCAAGTCCTTATGTAATTAAATATCAAGTCTCATACTTTCATTGGCATAAATTCCAACAGCTGGTATGACCTTTACTCTACAGTCTAGGGGAAGCTCTCATTTACTAGACTCAACTAGAGCAAACAAGTATACGTATTTCTGAAAATAGTTAGAGGCTGAGATACATAGAAACCATGCAACCAAATACCTGGATGTCAGGGTCGTTGCCAAGAGCGAGGCATGTTCTGTGAATGAGATTGAGTGGAAAAAAAGAGGACTGTGAACAAGGCAGAGAGACTGGAGAGGCCCACCATTTTCACGAGAATGAGAAATATGCCCTTTTGAAGAAGATGGTGACTTGAACGTTGTTCTGGCACATGGAAGCGCAGGAAGGCCATGTTACTCTTGCCCCCGTAATTCATCCTTTCGTGAAAAGACAAGTTCGTTCCATCACACACCTCACTTTCTCCGAAATCTCACATCACCGGTCATCACCGGTCATCCCCTTGTTCTAATTAGCAATCGCCTGCCATCGGCTTTCAGCATGGGGTAGCTTCAAAACAAACTTTGAAGAAGCCCAAATTTGGAGTACGAGGAATTTTCAATCTAATCTTCATAAAGGTGGTGGTAAAATAGTAAATTTTGAAATAATCACATAAATTTTGAATTTTTAAATAATCACACATTATCTTTGGTCTTTTCCCCTCAATTTAAAAAAAGACAGCCAGTCAAGACTCGAGATGTTAATTTTCGCAGCTAGAAAAGTAATATTTGTTCCAATTACAATAGGAGAATTGGAATCTTGATCTTTACTTAGGCCATGTTTGGTAGGTTGGAATTGTGAAGATGAAAATGGAATTGAGATAGGAATCTGAATAAAGTGATGTTTGGTAGATATGAATTACAATTCTTGGGAATCCTAATTCTATGGAAAAAAGTTGATTTGAATTCCTTATGTAAATCTATGGAATTTGGAGTAATTCTATAGAATTGTAATATTTAAGACACTTTTGCCCTCATACAAATTTCAGAAAGACAAATTTGCCCTAAAAAAAAAATAAAACCCTCATATGCTAGCAAAAAAAAAGAAAAAGGGAGTATAAAAGGGTGAATGATATTTTTTCTCATTATATATAAAACGTTATAATATATATATAAGATAGTATTATATATAATATTTGTATATAATTTATATATTTATAATATTTTTTTGGTATAAGAAGTAGAATTGATTTGTTTGACATTTTTCTTCTAAATCTACATGTTAGTGTATTTATTTTAAAGTAGAAGGGATGGGAACCATTGCCAATTTTATTTTTAAGAAAATGTTCCCTCTGATGATAAAACTTTTTGTTTGGCCCAAGCTAGTGAATAATAGTTACAGATATAATCTATGATTTATATAATATTTCATTAATATATAAAATACATAAGAAAATTGGTACACAATTAAGTTTTTATTATGTTTTATTTTAATTTTTATAAAGGGGTATTTTTGTCTTTTAAATATAATTCCATTTCCATGTCTTGCATACCAAACAAAAGTAATGCAAGGATTCCATCTAATTTTTCTGACATACCAAACATATTTTTATAATTCAATTCTATTCCAATTCTGATTCCAATTCCAATTCCAATTTCATTAAAAACTATTCCATCATACCAAACAGGGCTTTAGTTCTCATCTAATTCGTTCCACCTAAAAAAAAATAAAATAAATAAATATTAATGCTTTTGGATGGAAAGAAATCATTTTTAATAACTAAATTATAAAACAATAAAATAAAAATAAATCAATAAATTGCATTTGTATATAAGTAAAATAGGTGAAATTTTTCTTGATATGACTATCCGATTAGAACTCATTCAAGCATTATCCAATTGAACTGAAAATAGTTCCCTAGAAATATTTTCTATATTTACATATGTTATTTAATTATTACTATTTAGTTATCATCTCCTGGCCTATTTATTAAAAACATGCTTGGAGGTATTGTTATTTGTTGATGTGATTTTTTTTTCATAAAAATAAAAAATCTATCCTTTTCCAAGTTCAAATGATTTTAAAATCCTATGTAGGTAGAGAGTTAGGATTACTTACATATTAACCAAATTTTTGGGTGTACCATGTTCCATTCAAACAAAGGTGTAATGGAATTGAATCAAACAAGCTGATAATCATTCAATTGCCTTTGTTATTACATTAAGAATAAGATAATTGTTAACAGCCACTGCTTATATCAAGAAAATTAGTTAACTTCATTACTAAAAAATAACTAGTAAGATATGTTTTCACAATATATTTCAAATGTTAAGAATCCAAATGATTTTTAGGGCGAGAGAAATATCAAGTATAATGTAAACAAACTTCCAAAGAAATCAATATATTTACAAGTCATCCTTCCATGCCATCATCATCTGCTTCTATCTTGATTCCTAACTCAAAATATTACAACTCAATCTTTTGAGGGGGCGGGGGATTTTTACTAATAAAAATTAGATGTAACAGAAATAATTAGTTCCTCACAATGTAACAAATTAATGTTCGAATTATCACTGTGAGAACTGTCTATATCTAATATCTAATTATATTTTAAATGAGATTACTTCAAACAGAAGAAACATGTACGGGATTAAAAAAAAGAGAATTACAATCAAGTGCTATTTAAGAAAATTAATTACTACCAAATTCATTAACAATTACACTAAATTGTATTAATAACACAATCATTTATCAATACAATTTAATTCAATTATTAATAAACTTTATAATAATTAATTTTTTTGTATAGGATTTTAATGAAATTCTTCTTAAAAAAATGAATTTTCTCTATATGTTAATAAACATGCGTGGCAAGCCCAGAAACATTCAAAACTACCAACCCAGCCCAACCAACACATGTTAAGGCAGTGCAGCATTAAATTCGGACAGTACTATCATCCAAGCAAACAAATTTTTGACGGGACAAATGAAAAAAAGGAGGACAGCCAAAAAATTCAAAAGAACCGTCTCTCCCAGCGGGACACTTCTTTGCCCCACACAATGGGATAATTACTACAATAAATGTATATAGCTAACGTAATAGAAGATGAAGGGTACAATTTCTATTCTTCTACAATTAAATTATGCACAATTGGCCTTCTTTTGTTCTAGGTGGGAGACAAGGGGAAAAATTACAACATCGCGCAGACAAGGGGAAAATAAATTTGGAGACAACCTGCTGACCAGGTACATAATCATCCCATCCTTCGATTATAGTGCTTATCTGCTAGCCAATCAAAAGAAAATCTCGAGTCCTAGTTGTGTACATCTACTGGTCAGAGGAAGATTTGAACTGCTGATGCTGCCCATCTATCAAACTTATCTGTCGTCTGAGTTTAGCAATATGAGCTTGAACCTATGAACATTAGAAGTACAAAAAATAGTGAGTTGGCTCCAAAACCTTCTTTTAAGGTTGATCATTGAAAGCCCTCTAGAATAACAAAATTACATGCCGAATATAAGCTTCAAGAAAAATGAGATTCAGCTACCAGTGAACAGAGAATTAAGGAACCAATAACTTATCTCGGTCTGTGTTTTAGACTTTGCCTTACTGACGAGTTAGCAAAGAGTTGATCCAAAATGATCAAGGATTTGCAGAAAGGAAAAAGAGTTAATCTAAAATGTCTAAGCAAAGAATGACAAATATAAGTAATACATGACGAAATCTCGCTTGAGGGGGGGGGGGGGGAAGGATTATCTTATTAATATCACATTAGCAATTAATAAAATTAGAAACCAGTTCTCCTTTCTCATGTATGTGATGACGAAAGTCAAGGTGGTAGCAGGGCACTTAGTATCTCAAGGAAATTGCCTCCAAGTGGAGTGTGCCATATATTTTCCAATGATGCATTAAATGAAGGTCCAAGGATCAAGCGCAAGAGCATAACATGTCAATTGCTTCATATCCATGTATTTACAAAACAGAATAAGACCCCTAAAAGAAGCATGGTTTCAGAAAAAAGATGGATGTTATCATATAAAATACACCATGTTATGTCATAATACAAAGCCTTATATCATCTTCCCTTCACCTCATTAAGTTGATTTAAATCATTAGTTCAGAAATGACGGGAGTCCAATACAAGCACATAGAATAACAGTTCCATTCACCTCATTAAGTTGATTTAAAATATTGGTTTAGAAATGACAGGAGTCCAATACACGCACATACCTTCATAGTTAACAATCTAGAATACATGGAATTTTGGGGCATTGTGTTCCAATATTTCAAGGGTATAACTCCTTTGTGTTCCATTATGGTCTAGTTGAAGGGGAAGACAAGTCAAGACCCAAAAAAAAAACCCCCACAAACACCAACAAAAATCAACCACGAATCATTGGGCAGTAGCCTTCACTCCAAAGTATAGACAAAGTACAAAGAAAAAGTTGATTCCAAACTTCATAGACAACATAATAAAAATTCAACCTGTCTGAATTTTCAACAAATAGACTAACCAAAGAAATTATGAATCATGATCTAGGTCTCCAGGAAGGAAATTGCAAACAATTGTGCATGCATGAATCTGGGGCACGCTGTTTGTCATTTTAAAGTCAAAAGAATATACATGAATGGATTATGATATCAAAGTATCATAAACATCACCTTTGATTTCAACCCAGATTACATAAAGTTTAAATAAGATAAAGTATAATCTCATATGAACCTGCTGACGAGCTGCAGCAAGCTGTAAGAGCTCATCTGCTTCAGAGAAATTTGTGAACCATTGGGTTAGTGGATGATCTTTAGTATCACCTCTCCTCCTTTTACTTGCATCCTCAATAGGTACTGTACATATAATAGACTTGTCAATTCACTTCAATCATCGAACAAAAGAAAAGTGCATATTAAATTCCTAAGAAACATACTTGGATGAGGTAAGGTTATTCCAGCAGGCAATCTTGGAAAATTCACTACTGGATGGTTTTGCAAACGCGCTAAAAAAGCCTCAGAAGGATCAGGGAAAACTATCTCATCGTATAATTCCACAACAACAGGCTTTTTTGTTGACATGGAACTGTTCTCATCCTCTGGATATAACTTCAGGTGATGATATCTGTATATATATTACACTTCATAAAATACATGATTCAGAAATTATTTTGGTGTTCACAAATATTGGTCTTCACTATAATTAATTTTAGGTAACACATGCCATCCTTTGATGAATCAATATTTTAGTGTAGAAATAAATATCAGTTGTAAGGTAGTCTATAATCTCATTACTCAAATAATCAAGCACCAAAACCATTTAGAAGTTTCTCTTCTAATTGCATATAGCATGACAAATATCAGAAGTATCGGCTAGGCATTTCATTAATTGAAAATTGAAGCAGTCGAGCCAAGTGGCTGTATGTTTTCAAATCAAACTTAGAAAGCACTGCAGCATTTCCAACAGCCTTGGATCATTGTTGACAGTAAGCAGAGTGTTGACTAACCAGGCTAAAATGCTTAAAAGCCTTCTTCAAGTATATATCAGAACTCTATTAGGTGCATCAAGAAATCATAGAACATCAATAGGCGGCTTTAGAAACCAGAGCCAGCTACTAATCAAAAGCAAACAGCATCCAATAACTCACAAGTTCAAAGGCTTGTCACAAACATCGCTGTGGAAATGAAGTGTGATGGCAACTTCAAATTCACCCCATCCTGACTCTGACAACTCAAAAGGAGGTGACTCCACAACCCTTGTTGGATTGTTGAAACTAGAATGCAGCTGAAAAACAGCACGCTTTATGATCACTCCAAGGTCCTCATTGGTTGCTCCGCGAACATATACAGTCCATTTATGTGATTGATACCTTAAACAATAAAATTATGTAATTATATTTTTGTTTGAAAGAACAATATGCCGAAACTGTGCAGGAAATTATACGGTAATACAGAGCACACTTACTCGCTTGCCTTCTTGCCCAGCCAGAATGCGATGTTACCATACACTATTGGAACGCTTATTTCGACATCTTTGAGTTTCTTACCCAAGTTCTAAAAATAACAAAGAAATGATTATACTGCAAAAGATTGAACTTTCACCAATTCGAGATAACATTGTCATTATCTTTGTACATTCTGCAATTGCATTAGGCATTCTTCACATTAAATTAGAGTTATTATCACAATCATCATTAAAAGATTCAGATTTAAATCGCAGACAAAAACAAGCAACAAGGCAGCGAGCTACACACGCATACAGCAAGAGCAAGGCAACGAACCGCTTTCCTAAAATAGCAGGGTTTGGAGATATCAATGTATTTCGGAAATTACGAGAACAGAAATCTGCAAATACGAATTGAAACATGGAAATTTACCTTTTTCTCATTGTCTTCGGATTTGCCCATTTTGGTTCGATGTGATTTGGGAGTGGGGCCACTAATTTCAGGCTGATCTTGACCGTGCTTTTTCGTAGATGAGCTGATGGTCATATCAATTACAGGTTCGACTGAGAAATCGAAGCTGAATCTGGATAAGAAATCCTAGGGTTTGATTGTCCGCCAAAATTACAATGAATGGTTCATCGTCTTTACGATGTCGTTTGACAGAGGAATGGTTTTATGAAGAGCTGTTCTGATCACCGACGCAGGGGATAATCAAAGCTGCCATTAAGGGCATTCAAGTCATTGGCCTTTTCCTACAGATAGGCGCAGGAAACGGGTGTGTGGGAGAAACAAGTTTTTCCCAAACATATTTAAAATTTTCAAAACACATTTTTGTAATTAATTTTTGAAAAAAATTTAATCTTTTAATCTTTTAATTTTTAACTATAACTCGCATCGACTTAGTCCTTCAACTTATAATTCAATTATAACTCAGTCCTTATTTTTCATGTTTTTTTTTAAATTGTCCTTAACAAATATAAAAGATAAAAGAAATGCTTATATCTTGTTTATCCTCTTATTTTTTGATGTGGGATCTAAGCTATAAGAACTAATGAAGAAAGAAGAATTTTATTAACAGTAAAAAATTGAGTGACTGAATTATAGACGAGTTAAAAGTTAAGAAACTGAGTCATATACAAATTAAAAGTTGAGGGACTAAATTGTAGTAAGTTATAGTTGATTAATTGAGTTATAAGTAAATTAAAAGTTGAAAGATTAAAAGATTAATTTTTTTATTTTTTAATAATTAATGTACGCGTTGTAATGGATAATTATGACTTATGTAACCCATAAAATAAAATAAAATAAAATTGATGTCAAATATTTTTGTGACTTTAGATCCATTTATTTAAGATTAAAAATAAATAATTTTTAAGTAATTTAAAAATTTTATAAAAAGTAGATATTATTTTATATTTAGTTATAATAATAAAAAATAATTATTGATGAGTTATTTTTAAGGGAGAATTTTAGTTAAGAATCTAGGAAGACATATAATTTTTGATAGGTCTCTAAAGAATTTGAAATTTTAGTTCAATTCTCCAGGACTAAATTAAAAATAACTTGAATGTAGAAAAGACAAAAATACCCTTTTGTAAACAAAGAAAGAATAGGCAGCTGATGATGAAAGAAAGAAATGCACACAAAAAGGAAAACCTCAACCTGCAGTTCTTTATTTCTCAATGTTCATCTTAAGGAAGAGCGGTTGGTAAGATTCATCACCCACAAGTTCATGAGATTTATTCCCTAATTCCTTCTTGATTATGCGTTCTTTATGTAATGCGATTCTTCCTTCTCCATGTAATTTGATTGGAAATGAAACAAGATGGGTGTTGACTAGGGACCTTTTTAGAGGACGGGTTGGCATCAATCAATCATGCGGAGGTAAAATACTGTCATTTATAATAATCAGAGGCATCTTCTGTGTATAGGTATGGATATGGGCATGGGTATAGGTACAAGTTTAGTGCAGGGAATGAACATAGGATGAATTAATCAATTGGCATGAAAGAGTGGGTGCTTTTATTTGATGTAAAGTGTTAATATTAAAATTTGAAAATATAAAGCTGTTAGGTATTGAAAGTTTTGTCATTGTATAGTGAGTTATTAAAAACTTTATGTTATGTTATTAATATTATAATTCTTGTTGTAAATTTATGAGTTTATCAAGTGTTGATAAAGTAATTGAAGTTAACATTTTAATGATATACAAGTTGGAATGACTCATGAATTTTAGTTTTGTAGAGCAATTATTTTGTATATTCCATATAAGGGATAAATTTGTCAAGACTTTAGAGGAAAATACAAGATATGAGGGTGGGATTATAACTGAAAGTTTGATAAGACAAGCAATGACCTATAAAGAATTAAAAAGTATGATCTTAATATATGTGTGGCCTGAAAGTAGTGGCAGTATCAAAAAGTACATAGTAAGTTATGATACAAACATACTATAAGATCTCATAGATGACAAAAGGGTAGCATAATTAATTGAGTTGAACAATAAAAGTGGTTATGTTTATGTTGATAAGGGTACAAAAGACTCCAGACAACCATCACATTTGGATTGCTAACAAGTGTAAGTTCACTTATATTTACCCTTAATTGTAAGCCTAATACAAATTGATAAATGTCTAATATGACTTGTAAATTTCAAGTTAGATCATATGGTATCACCTTCAGATAGAAAGTCACTTTCTCCACCAATATGGGAATTTGATATAGAAAGTTTTAATATACCTTCTTCCATTCACAGTGTGAGTCCACTCTCAACTGTATAAAGTTTAGCCATAGAAAGTCTCCCTACTCCTTTGCTTGAGATGAATACTTCAATGTAGAAGGATGTAGGTATTGGGCAAACATTTTCTCACACTATGGCATTTAGACAGACTTTATCCAAATATAGTGTTGTATATAAGTTTGGGTATGAGTTTATCAAGAATCGTGATAAGAAAATTATTGCATGTTGTGTGCTTGAAGGCTATCCTTGAAAAATTAGAGCATATGAAGTTAGTAAAGTTCATTCCTTACTATTAGAAAGTTTAAGAAAGAATAAATGTACACTGCTCAAGACAACCTAATGGTGCCCTACAAGAAAAGATGCCATCATAATTGATGACTTGAGGTCTAACATAAATAAATCTGCAAATGACATAAGGCGAGATCTGCAAAGAGAGTATGGTGTTAACCTTACATACCAACAAGCCTATATGGCTAAAGAGAGAGCAATTATAGATATCTATGGTCTTCTAAAAGAATCTTACATGATAATCCCGTGATTATTTGAAAGGTTAGAAGAAAGTAATCCCAATACTATCATAAAATGGGTTGTATCACCAATGAATAGATTTGGGCAACTATTTATAACTAATGGATATTGTGTAAAAGGGTTCTTGGAAGTGTTCGACCCACAATCTATATAAATGGCTGCCATTTGAGTGGTCCCTACAAAGGGACTTTATTGGAAGCATAAGCATATGATGCGGATAATAAGTTATTCCCTCTAGCTTATGCCATTGTTAGTGGAAAAACTTTTGACGAGTAGGCATGGTTCTTGTCTAACATTAAGGATATAACAAGAGATCTTCATTTAGTGATTGTGTCCAATAGACATAATGCAATTATAGCTACTATCCAAGCTATTTTTGGGGGCGAAAGACATGCTTTTTGTTATTGGTATGTAAATGAAAACTATAGTTATGAATTCTTGAAAATCACCTAGGGAAAGAGAAAGACTAGTAGCGAAACTAAGGAGACTGCATAAAAATTGCTAGATGTAATGGCCTATGCAAGATTGGATGTGGATTTCAATGAGACTATAGGAAATCTAATGTCATTTTGTCCACAGTTGGGACAATGGTTGAAAAGTCATAGGGATATTGATTGCTGAGTACTTAGTAGGTTTTCTCATAGGAGATAGGATAACATTACTGCCAACCTTGCAGAATCATTTGATGCATGGTTGGTGAATGAAATGAAGTATAACGTTCTTGTCCTGATATATGAATATAGGAAAAAGTTAGCTCAATAGTTATATAAAAGTAAGTTAGCCATGAGAAATTGGAGATATTACATCGGTCCAAATATGGAGTCAAAACTAATTAGAAATGTCACAAGAGCTTAAAGAATGCCAGTACAAGATCATGGCTTGAACACTTTCAGAGTCATGACTTACAAGGAGATGTCTGTGTGAATCTTACCCTATATGAATGCTTATGTAAGGCTTGGCAGATGTGTGGGTTACCATGTCCACATGCATGTATGGCGATAAAGCACATATATGGGAATGCATATTCTTATGTTGGGGAATGTTATCTACTTAGTTGTCAATAGAAAATATACTATCACAAGATGATTTCAGTTGAAACTCATGACATTCTTAGGCTAGATAGTCTCAAATTTGAGTAATTTATCTAAAGTATTACTACAACCACTTACGACTAGTAGACCTCTAGGAAGGCCAAGAAGTGAAAGGATAGAATCATAATTCTAGGACACAAAGGTATATCAATACTCCAGATGTGGTAAGACTGTTCATATAAGGAAGACTTGCAAGAATTCCAATCCTAGCTAAATTGGTTGATTGATAATTAATTTTTTGGTTGTATATATAGCTGTTGTTATTTTATATATGAACTCAGATTTTTTGTTCTTTAAAAAAGCAACTCTTATGTATATTTGCACAACCTATATGATTTTTTATTGTAATGGGTTGCTATCTCTATAAGGGTACCTTATGGCATACTCTCACAAGTACCGGTATGAATTTTTTTGGTAATCTATATATATGCTATATGTTAATCAAGTTACATCACTTGTTATTTTCTTTATGTTAGTTATAAATAGTTAGCATTGACTTTGCCTGTAATTCTCCAATACCAAATGCAAATTTCATGTTTGAATCATACAAGTCATGTGGTCCTTGATACGAAATAAGTACTTGTTAATTGTCTAACTTCAATAATAAATTTACTAATAATAATGGTTAATTTTGGGAAAATAATCCAACATATTCATGACTTGGCCTAAATCTTATAGGTTATGTAGTTGGCAAATGGCGAATAAGTACTTATTAATTGCCTAATATCACGTGTTAATTCTCTAATATCACTTGCATATTTCATGTCTGAATCAAACAAGTCAAGTGATCCCTGATGTAGAATAAGTACTTGTTAAATGCCTAATCTCATGGGTTAATTCTCCAATACCACTTGCAAATTTCAAGTCTGAATCATACATGTCATGTGGTCTCTGATGCAGAATAAGTACTTGTTAATTGCCTAACTCTAATTGTAAATTTTCTAATAACAGTGGTTAATTTTGGAAAAATAATCCAGCATGCTCACAACTTGGCCTAAATCTTATAGGTCATATAGTTAGCAGATGGCAAAAAAGGTCTTGTTAATTGCCTAATCTCTCATGTTAATTCTCCAATACCACTTGCAAATTTCATGTCTGAATCATAAAAGTTATGTGGTCCTTGATGCCGAATCAATACTTGTTATTTGCCAAACTCCATTTGTTAATTTACTAATAACAATGGTTAATTTAGGAATAATAATCCATCATACAGCTCATGTTGTGACAGGTGGCGAAATAGGTCTTATTAATTCTCCAATGCCACTTGCAAATTTCACCATTTCACCTGTAAATTTCAGTTGCATTTTCAAATGTAAATTATAAAAATAAGTAAATATGTACCAGTATTAATGTTAATGATATGGCAGGTTACAAGTATTACAAGTATTGAAAATT